ACTCTGAAACTTTCTTCGCCATTAACTTGCCTTAGGTAGATAGGAGACTGTAAAGGACTTGAGATGGTTATAATACGGTTCTTATTGTTATTAAATTGCTATTAAATAGCTATTTCCGCAAGTGAGCAAGATGAGTCCAGCGCTCTAAATAGCTACCCGACGAAAATCAAAACCAAGAAAACCAGGGCGAGTTTTTTCAATGCAATATGCGACAAAGCCAAGATCTTTGATTTTATAATTCGGCCACGTACAATACATCCTTTGTTGTCCAAACTTTCTTTTACACGACGGCTCAGAAGTATCCAGATATCTTCACCTTATACTTGGTCTATATTACATATTTATTGACTTGCTGTCACTTTTTAGTGGGATATACAACGGCCTAACGGTGAGAGCGCGGAACTCCGGGTAGAGAGGTCTGGACTCAAGACTGGGCTAGTAACAATTCGCACTGGGTACCAGCGAACTAACCGTGAAGCCTGACGCAATGCTGGGCATGGAATAGAATTTCACTGAGGGGGGAGGGGGGGGGAAGGGAAAATTAGTAAAAATTAGTAATGCTAAGAGGTCCTTCAATCTAGAGATAAGCTCCAGCCTTGTGGGCTTCAAGACAAACTGAGCATTTGACCTTGACCCTTTTTTTCCTTTACAGGCCGATGGTATCGACAAGGACCTCGTTTTCAAGCTGCAGTACAAGACCCATGTGTACTTTTTCAGAGCCGAAAATGAATACACCTTCTACAGGTGCAGCAAAACGTATTAATATCATGTAAACCAAATTGTGTTCACCAATAGCTCAAACCTTGACCACCGAAATGGTGTTGATGTTTTATTCGCAATGTTTGTCAACGAAACCTCGTAAACAAAGTGTCAGCAAGAATGAAAACAGGTTGTTTCAGTAATGGAAGTGTCTGGTAAGAGCAGGAGGGGAAAAAACATACGCGTTCGTCAATTGAAGCACTACTTTCTCTCTTGATATAAATTCATAAAGCATTTCTTTTGCGTCTTTGATTTCAGGTGGATGGAGGTGATTACAGGTGCAACCCAAAGCTCATCCAGAGTGCGTCTTTTCAGTCGTCAGATCAGTTCTGTTCATTAAGCAAGCTGCGATTTGGAACAAGCTGCTTCTTTGTTGTACGTTCACCCGAGGTATTTTATAATCGTTTTATTACATGCGTGCGCTGCTTTTCTAACGGGTGCCGCGAAGCCAATCTTGGAGAAAAGTGAGGTATTGTTCCTGAACAGTCTCTCAAGCTTTTTTACAATGGTGACTAGGATCGTAGCCAAACAAGGCTTTTTTACCGAAGGGATGCGTCTGCTACAAGCTGTGAATGTGACCCTTTGTGACCGTGGAGACGAGGAATAAGTTAAATTGCTGCAAGGATCAAGGGCAGGCCTTCGCCTCAACATAGGCCGGAGGATTTCTCCCCAACACTTCAAAAATTCAAAGGCATGGAATGGAAGTATCGTTTGACTTGTAACGATTTCCCAGGCGCGCATTCAAGCTGACCTAAAATGGGTTGTTGGTTCTCTTAAAGAGGCTGCAGTGAATCTCTCATCTTGAACGTCTCTTTCAATGTGGAATGGGCTTTGTAGCATCCAGTAATCTTCTCTTAATTGTACCCGATAGTGTTGTTGCTGAATGACTCAAGTAGTTGCCGCGAGTGAGACTTAGGTAATGGTTAGAGACCATATAACAGGGCATGATAAGCAGCAGTTATCTTGGCATTACTTCAACGCCAATTTTAAGCGTTCTTCTTAAAAAACTTACTTACAAACACATTTTTTTAAGAGGTCTATTTCCTACCGCTTAATACTATATTGTTATTTAGTCTCTCGTCTGGTACTCCATTAACTTACAAACTCCGAATTTCTTCTCCACAGTTCTTTCATTTTAGCTTCCCCTCGTTTTCTTGTAAATTAATTGAGAGTTGGAGTTCTCTAAAGATAAAACTTGTACATAAGGATTTCTATTCTCCCCATCTGTTCTCAGTATAATGTATTGCAACTACGAGAAGTTTCATGTTAATCACTGATCGGAATGAAGACAAAGACATTTAAATATTCGGGTGCGGAGGAAACAGTTTATATAACAATGTTTACAGTTTGGTTTTCGTTCTTGAGCGAGAAAGCCATTGAATTGTACAATGATAGAATATCTTACTTATTTTCAATTTTATTACCGATTTTAACAGAAATTGTCGTACGCCGGAAAGGGGTCTCGTGGTAGAGTTTAAGGTTCGGTATATTAAAAATACTTATACCCTCTGCTGCCTTGGGCGAATTACATTAGGGGAAATTTTAGACGTTGGGAAGGTGAAGAATTTTACATAAGCTAATTGTGGCTCGCATAAACATTTCCGTTGCAAAACTAATGAAAAGCTTAATTTTAGGTGTTTAATGCTACATCCGGATTTGATATTAATGTGGAAACTATTTTTCGCGTTGTTGATGTAGCGAGAGTGCTTTTACGTTATTTGTATTTACCATCACGTTGAACTTGAGCCAAATTGCAAAATCTGTTTGAAAGTTACAATTCGACTGCTGAAGCAATGAACCTGAACGTAACATTACCCAAGTGACCTTGAAGGTATTAAGCAAGACAGTGGTTAAGTTAACCCTTTAACTCCCAAGATCTCTTTATTAATTCTCCTTACTGTCTGGCATACAGTTCTTGTGATGTTAGTTTGGACAATTTGGTATTGGATCATCTCAAAATCCCCTAACTAGTATTTTTCGATATTCTCATCACTTGTCTGCTTGTTATTGTATTGATATTGTAAGGAGAAATTCTTTCTTCGTCATTTATGGGATTTAAAGGGTTATTGACGGATTCTGTGTTCGTAGTGACCACCCGAGCGGGAAAGATAAGCAGATCTTCCACTCTCCGCTTTGCTGTCTTTTCTCTCGCCAGTGTGGATTTCTTTGATGTAGTATTTTACTTCAGAATAATTCTTTCCTCAAGCTTGTTCGGTCTTGATGGCTGGTTATGGGACTCTACTTCGTCTCAGCTGGTAGAATCGCTAAAGGACGAACTTAGCCCATATCTTGTCATTTTGACCTCTATTTTGGACAACAATGGGCAGTGCATTTGAGAGTAAGTTGTTACTCTACATCAACAAAGTGAAAAATAGTCTCAGACTCTCGCAATAACGTCAGGCAACTTTCAAACTACGTGGAAACTTCGATTTAACGGCCGGAAGAGACACTTAGAACTGGACATGACATGCAAATGTTACACACCCCGATTTAAACACGAAAGGATAAGGAGAATAAGACTCAGTTACTTAAACAGTTTGTAGAACTTATGAGAATGCCTCTAATCTTGTGAGTGTTATCATAAAGCTGTCTCGGCACATTATTGCCCTCGGTTGCTATAAAAGTTTAAGAAAAAAAAAAGGGGTCTGTAACGCTTCTCAACTGTAGGTACATACATACATCTTGATACACCTATCAGGCAGTGAGAGCGAGCGTGCTCTGTTAATTTTCTATTAATTTGTTTTCGTTGCATGAGAGTTGCAACGTATTAAGGCTTTCGAATTCTTATTAAGGTGAAGGGTCTTCTAGCTGTAATTGAGAAAAGACCGAGGATAGGCCAAGATGTGTGTTTATTTCAAGTTAAAAGAGTCTCCTCACTATGCGTGATAATCTCGAGATGGTTGCGCCTCAAGGAGTTGTTATCTGAATGGGACTAGTCGGGCTGTCGTTTGGTATGTGTTATTTACTTGCGTCGATGAAACTCTAGGGCAATTTTTGTTGTTTTTGTCTTTTTGTTTGTTTGATTACAGATTGTTAGTCTAAAACCTGGGTAAATTGCACCTTGGCTATTACACTTCTCGCTGTAAAGTTACTACAATAGCGTTTCGGTGAACGTGCAATTTTAACATCATTTACCTGTTTACCTGAGGGCTCTTCATGGCAGGGCTCTTCCATAATGAATTGAAAGTTGCCCAATTGCCCAATTGCCGTGTCGCGCAAAGGTCGGTCTTACAGTTGATTTGGTCGAGGATCGAGATTTGGATCAAGCAATTGGATGTGAGAATCCGTTAAAGCGTGGAGACTCTTTTAACTTGAAGGTTTGTCTTGCAGGTCAGAATTTTGTACAGAGTATTGAGATTATTCAGAAGAATGGCTAAATAAATGTTAAATTTATATTCTTTAGAGTTATTATTCATGTCGAGAAATTCATTGTAAGTTCAAATAAAGATTTGGACATAACAGAAATAAAGAAGCTGGCGAGTTCTTGCATTTTCTCATTGCGTGTCCAGTGTAGGGAGGCAACCACTGCTCTATTTATTTGATGTAGTAGGCGTTTGTTCCTTATTCGCTTTGACGAAGAGAAGTCGCTTGAAGTGTCAGCTTCACAAACTCTTGAAGGTGGCCAACTTAAATAATCAACTCATTTGATAAGACAATCTCATATAACCCCCCCCCCCCCCCCCCCCTTCCCGCCGTCACAGCATTACAATTTCTTTAGAAAGTCAACAGGCAAAGGCCAATTCGAGGAAAACAACAACACGATGCCTCAGCAATTATTGCTTTACTCTAACAGAAAAAGGATAATCTGTTCATGTTGTCCTTCAGCAGCATAATTAAAAATATAAAACTGTTCTAATGAGGCGTGAAACTGCTGTTTAAAACGTAAAATCTAAAATCCAAACTTTCGCCGATGAACGGCACCATCAGGGATGAAAAATTTATTTAATACTTGGTGGACAAGTGCAACTGTGCAAACTTAAACCTTTATATACGCATTGAACCACGCATTGTACCTTGCAACCACTCTTCGAAATGTAAACTTCACATCGTTTTTTCATACTAAATTCAAAATTATTACCGGATGATGAGAAGCCAAACCCTTAACATGTAATAAACTGAGCTCAACGTTTAAGTAAATTACCACTAAATGGGCCTTGCTGTCGATTTGCGACTGATAATGAGTACGTTAATAAATGTTGCATGAATGCGCAAGTGTATGCGCGCACTTTTTTTCATAATAATCGGGATGGCCGTGCAGCGAGCGACACATATTTTCTTGATGTCTTTTTACGCGCTTTTGGTAATCTTGGCTATCTTTGCTGTACCGGAAAGTTCGGCCGACTACTGTGGAAACGTATTTGAAACTACAGCTAGTACGTACTAGAAATATGTGATGTAATTTTCTATTCTATTTTCGTTTCACAAATCAGTCTTACTCTTTCTTTAGACCGTGTTTTACTTGGTCATGTCATCGACTCTGTTCTTGACATCGATGAATTTGAGTGTCGGCTGAGGTGCATCGGCGAAAAGGGTTGCAAGTCGATTAATATACGTCGCAATGGGAACAAAAAGAATTTCTGTGAACTTAACAGCCAAAATCGACAGACCATGCCACAGGACTTCAGAGTGGAAAATAGTTCCACATATCATGGCTTTGTTCAGGTAAGCTATTTAAAAAGATGTTAAAATTAAGTTTCACAATATGCTGAGTTGGTTTGACAAACTTAATTCCACCCACGATGACACCGGGAGTTTTTGGGTTGTTAAGAGGAGTAGGTGTGGAGTTTATATCGGTCTCTTAGCGCATTAGCTTGCGCTCTCCGTTTTGAAACTCCAACCAGAGCAGATACACCGATATTAGGCTCGATATTTACATTGTGCGTACCGCATATCATTTCCATCACGTTTGTCAAAAACATTATTTGACAATGAAATTTTTGTCTAAGCTCACTTCAGATAATCAATCCTGTAAATAACCAATGTAATTTGCCCTTAAATATTGGTAAAGTTAAAACTATTACTAAACTAGGGTTGAAAATAATTTATGCAGAATATTTCTTCGATCAGCTCAAGTTCAAGAGATCGCAACTTTAGCTTCTAAACTTGCTTGGAGACACAATTTCAACGCAAAGAACTGCTGGGTAAATTGAGATGAGTCATCCTTTCTTCCTTTCAAGAGCCCTTTGAAAATCTCTCTTTCCTTTTTCTATACCCTTTAAATTCTGAATTCTCGGCCTATTTTGTAACTATAACCTTACGAGCAGAGTATGAAAGAACCCCCTCCTGAAGCGACAAATTGAAATTCAAAACATTTCATTTCATTTTTACAAAATTATGTTCTTGGAGATCCCACGTCCCCTTCGCCGAGACAATTCACTTCCAAGTAATTCTGATGATCAGTTTGAAGTTGATAATATGAAAGGTAAATTGCCCTGGAAAATTGAATTGTACAGATCGTTTGATATGGAATGAAACCTCTCCTTGATGAACACGATTTGCCATTCATGCGTCAAAAACGGCAGGTGTTTTTATGCAAAGAGGAAAAACTTGAAATTGTTGAAAAGCAGAAGGAGAGCTATTAATAAAATAATGAGGTCTATTTTCGCAGATATAAACCTAGAGTCTTTTTGCCCGAGCTAGGCGAGGGTTAATACAACTCTAAAAGGGCTCAAAACATATTTTTGCTCAAGAACAGAAACTCTATTCTTATTATCATCACTTTGAAGGGTATTGAAAAATATAAGCTGAAAAAGACAACAATAATTAGAAATTGGTTCATACGTCAGCGTGCGTTCATCGAGATATGAAGCACGCGGGAAGTTTGGAGAGCACGAAAGATGCGTAAGAGTTGCTCGAGGCGTAGCCGAGAGCAACTCTAGCTTCTTGAGTTATTGTTGAGTTATTCTTGAGTTATTCTTGAGTTATTGTTGTCTTTTTCAGCTTATATTTTTCAATACGAGGGATTTGTTTGCTGACGTCATGAGCGTGCACAATAGGAATATGAAGCACGCTCGCGCAATTGAATTTGGTGAGACAAATTTACTAGCTATGTTATAAAACACTCTGAATAATCACACAAGAGAGCGAGAGGGCTTTTTTTCGTAGGGAGGCGAACTCTGACCAAAGCTGTTTTATTTAACCCTTTAACTCTCAAGATCTGATTGTTAATTTTCCTTTCTAGCTGCCACACATTTCCTTGTAAATAAGCTACAAGAATTTGGTGTTAGATCAAATAACAACTTCTACCTGATACATTTGAGTATTCTCATTACCTGTTTGCTGGATAGTGAATGGATATTGAAGAGAGAAGTTACTTGTTAATCGCCTCTGGGAGTTAAAGGGTTAAGGAAGGAATTCGATGTGTACTGATCCAGCAGTGCTTAGATCTAGAGCTTAGTGCAATCTTATCATGACTCAAAATGAAACACAGATAGCAATGATAAACTCAGCAATCCAACGAATTTTGCGTCGATCGACTCGACAACAGAAGTTGAAAAGCTGACATAACATAAAGTTTAAGAACACAAATATTCTATTAACGGTAACCTTAACCTGTTACTGAAGTCTTTCGGAAGAAAATTACTCCTGAGAGTGCTCCGCCTGCGATAAAATCAACCCTTGGTTTTCTATCCTCACACCTTTGCGTCATTTTAACTTGTGTCTGTCCACAAGACAAATCTTGTTTTTGAGCAGATATAAATCGTTGGATCCTCCCTTCTGTCGCGCGTTTTCCTTAAAAAACAGGAAAAGAATATGGTCTTTTGGTGTAACTTACTCAACTTCCACACACACAGGTTTCCTGTGTCGACATTTCCAGTGATAAGAAAAGACAAAGAAAGAGCAGACTGTGTCACCCAGGATACCATGGTGAACGATGTCAACCAGACCACAGTGAGTAACAACAGCGTGTTTTTGGTGTGTACTTCTAAATTAGAAATACACCGCAAAGCATAAAACTGAATAACATAATTATATAAATTTTCTTTCTCAGAGGGCTTGTACTCCCACCATCCTGCTTCGTCTTGCAAAGAAATCCGAAACGCAGGACACTTTAAAACAGACGGGGAATACTGGGTCGATCCCGAAAAGAATGGGAACGCTCTAAAGGTCTTCTGCGACATGACTACTGACGGAGGTAAGCTCAAATAAGCTCCATCCAACCGTTTCTGGCAAGGTCTTAAACAATGGATAATTAACCTTGGAGAACCTTTCGCAGAAATTTTCAATCTATCACCATTTATAGTACTAGGGCTTAAGCCACACAAAAACAAGAAACTAAATTTCCTTTTTTTGGTCGCTAGATATTTTGTATGGATATGCAGAATGCGCAACATCTCTCCGGAAATAAAAAACTTCCCCCTCTTCTTCTCACATTATAATGCATAAATCATTATTATAATGCATAAATCATTATTATAAAGAAAAACCATGCATAAAACAAGCACAACACGCATTTACTTAGTGTTTTCTTTAATTCTGTTTACATATAATTTGATGTTTGTATCCTTTTTTCCTGCACTTTTTTGTTTTCTTTTAAACTACCTTTTTTCTATAAATTGTAAGTAGTGCACTCTATACACTGTAAACGTTTTCGTTTTTTTTTTTATTTTCTTTTTTCTTTTCTTTTACAATATATAGTTATTATGTTTAGTCGCTCTATTTTTTAAAAAAGAAAAAAAAAAAGCTCCATCCTGCTAAAGCTAAACCGTGCCCTCAACTTCGATGGAGCGGGGAAAATCGGGAGTAAGACAAGGTTTATATAGAAGATAAGAAGCATGTATAAATAAGAGATTATTACAGCAAGGGGAATAGTTGTGTACTGTCCTTTTGGTCACCGAGGGAAACCTGTTTTGAAAGCAAAACATACTTTCCCGTTGCATGGAAACGATTTCAAAGCGAAACTGTATAGCCAAGGGACAGAAATAAACAATTAATTCGTTTTTTTTCAAACTTTACCAGGGCTTCATTTTCTTGAAACATATTATCTAAATTCCGCTTTGTTTAAAACTTAGAGGAGGCTGCCTTCCTATTTCTAGCATTTTAATTGACATTTTCATAAATTTTCCAGGAACTGTCTCGACGCACGTAGTTTTAATTTTTGTTTTCGTTTTAGGGGGCTGGCTTCTTATATCGAGCATTGTCATTGACACCGCTGCCCCAAATCAGATGACTGTAGTGTCATCATACCGTGGTATTAACACCAGTCAGATGGTACTCACAAAAGGTGCCGTGAATGAGCTGAGATCACACTTGGGATTCACTCAAATACGATTCCACTGCAGTAGGCATCCGGGCCATATATTCCATGTGGCCACAGCAGCTAACAGCACTGGGGAGGCTGTAGTCCAGTACTTCAGCGGTCAGACGGACATCCAACCAAATGCTTGTGGCTCCTTTGTCAGAATGGATAATGACAACTCGATTATGTCAAGACAGTGTCATCAGTGGGGATGGGAAAATGGAACGTACAAAGTCGGAAAATGGGGACATAGTCGAGATCAGGATAGGTTGTATATTTACCCTGCTTTTGTTTACCACGGACAACACTGGCATACCAGCCCGCATGGTACTAGGTATTGTGATGATGGCGGAAGTAGCAAAACTGCCGGTGATTTTTGGAAAATTTACGTGCGTTGAAAAGCTTCAGCGAAAGCAAAGCAACTTATCGAGAGCTGGATACATTATACCATTTCTAAATGATTGAATCGTTTAAGAAAGCACTCCGGACTTCTACTGGCATTTCAATTATTATAATAATAATGATGATGATAAGAATAACAAATAAGCACTATAGAGGATGCTCCCGGCTATTTATGCTCTAAAACCACTATAGTTGTTATCATCATTGCTACTTTTATCAATTTTATCGTTATTATTATTTTTATTCTTGTGAAATTGTAGCCATAATATTTGTTGTCGTCAGCGATATTGTTATTATTCCTTTTATCAGTGTATGAAATATACCATCATCATCATTATCATAATCATAATTTTTACTGCCTGAATAGAACCTTCACTGTTCCCATATTTAACTCAAGTCTAACACCCTTAACTCACCAAGTCGACGTTTATTTCTTTGTTTGTTTTTTTGAAACATACAAAGTTGTACTCAAAATCTCAGGATCTAACACTGCGGATGCGACAAAGAGAACGTAATGTGGAGGAATTCTTATCATAATCATAAAGCATTCTTGCATCCTTAACGCTAGGAAAATTTTCCAAAAAAATTACCGTTCATTTTGGAACTATCTATAGACTGAGCTGAGTTGCAACTTAGCCGACGCTCGTTTGGAGTTGAGGTGGGTTTTTAAGAGGTAATTTCTTGAATGGCTAAAGCGTAACTAAGCCTTTTTGTTGATTGGGAGTCATACCAACACGGTTAGTTCTTGTGGAACTGAAAGATCGTCATTACTCACAAACTTGATTTAATTGAACAAATTAAAAAATTTAGAGACACAGCTTTTGAGAGGCTTAGACGTATGCGGTATGAGCCTGAGCAAGCAATAAGTATATTAGCTCGATGAACTTGCTTTTATCGACCACACCCTTTATCAAATATAGAAGCCTCTCTGTTTATCAAATTATTTGCCCAAGATAAGAAACCCAGCCTAGTACGAAGTAGAATATCTGAGCTACTGAGCTTGCTTTGCAAATTCGAGGTGACTGACTGCAACGAAGAGCTATATGCGTGAGCCTTTTTTGATGAATTATCTTTCAATGGCTCTCGCAGCACTAGTTTTTTCGGTCGGTACTGAAGGAAAAATCTCTGAGTCCTAGGATAGAAACAAGTTGTTTTGATGGAGACGAAACACGACATCGTGCAAGCCTTAAGTATTTAACTCGAGTATCTTGTAATAATCCAAATTTTTGTACCAATCGTAGAAGCAGCTTTGTTGAAGAGATATTGAAGATAAGAAATGAGCAACCTATTCCCTGTTCCAACTCCCTGGTTCTTCTGAACAAAGACTATTTTTGTCAAAAAAGCGGTAATTATGTGTGGTAATGTTGCATTATTTTTAATAGTACGGCTGAATATGCCGTTACGCTTTCATCGTAAAAGGTAATCAAACCGGCCGTGAAATAAGTATTGCAGATCTAAAATCTCGTCAATGTTTAAAGACTCAATTAAATTGAACGCGTTGGACTTCATAGAAACTTACCTCTGATGAGGCTGAAAAAAAGACTGTATGAGCTCGAGCGAGCAATGAGCATATTATCTTTAACACCCTTACCAAGTATGGAGGTATCTGTTCATGACAAATCATTTGACTCAATGATAAGAGACTTATTGTTCACGCCACTCAGACTCTGTTCCTTATGGACAATGGCTTTCATTATAAAAATTCAAGGGGAACTATGTGTAAATACTTCAAGGTAGTTTTTTTGTGAAAGCACCCGCAACTAAAGATTCAATACAAATGGTATTTTGGCACTTCGTTATGGTTCAGGCAATGAAAACTTTGTGATTGCCTTGTTGAATAAGCAGCTTTTAGATGTTGAAGATAAGAAATCATATCAGACAGATAACGTATACCCTTTCTTTCTTAGGCAAAGGATTTTCATGTTAAACAATAAAAAACAATTACATGCAAGGTTATCGCAAAACTGGAAATGAAATGTGGAAAAATCACAGAACGCCGGTTCATAAAATGTTCATCGGGTATACTTCCCTTTAATATTGTTGAAGTAACGGTCCAGCATCTCAAACCAGCGCAACTCTGTACCGAATTACATTATTTCCAACTGTGTAATGTAGACATTTTCTCGACTCACTAAAGGCCCACGCTCCGGTTGTTCGAGGGATGGGTACCGTTATCCACTGGATAAATCTCTGTTCGGTGGATAGCGCAGTGTGTATTTTAACATTAATCTGTTGGATAGCGATTTATCCGTGAGATAGCCTCATCTGCCTTCTGAGCAAACCGCAGCAACTGGGCTGAGAGGAACAACTGGCGCGCTTTCAAAATGAAACTTGCAAATACGTAGATTGGCAATGAACCGTGATGGTGAAATAAATACTCAATTTAAAACTGTCGTGGCAGTTGGCTAGATAATTAAAGGAAATTGAATTTCAGTTACTTTAAATCGCTTGATTGCTTTGCATAATTATATCTAAAACACTTTTATTTATCAAGGTTTGGCCAATGAACCCTCACGACCCCACATATCCTGATTTGTTTGTAGTTTGTTTAGACCCATTTAACTTCATGTTGAATTTCAGTTCATCGATTCCTTTCGCATTGTAGGAAAAGGAAATTCCCAAGTTCCAGTTGGGGTGCAAAGCGAGAGGAACGTTGGGGAAGAGGAGAGGCCATTATAATCTGGCCGTTGGCTAGGAAATGTCGACTTCGCTTCGGGTTTATTTTTCATTTTTCAGCGAGGTCAGTTGTCTGTTTTCCTATATGTCTGCAATATGATTATTATTTCCTTCTCCTTTTCAGTTTTCCATCAGAAAAACCACAAGACAACAGACTTTGGCCAGTAACCATCTTTATTAGCAAGTTTATTTTAAACCTGTCAGACTAGACAGCCATTATCGTTAATGGATTGGACTGGCATCTATGAAAACCAAAGAAAAAAAAAAGCAAAATGAAAAAAATGGATGTATATCTCAGTTTGTATAAATGGAATCCAACTGTCGCTTACGAGAGCCGCGCAAACAGTAGGAGCTTTGTGTTTGGAACGCTGACTCCTGATAAAAGAGTCACGTTGGTACCTGAGCAAGAGTTAGCGTGCTGAGTTCTAAGATAAAACTCTTTACTTTTACACTAAGAGGTATAAATGAGTACCACCAAAATTGTCAGGGAAAAACTTAAGTCATTGAGGAGTTACCTTCTATAAGAACCAGCAGCCTGTCTACAAGGGGTAGTAATTTTTGTAGTTGCCGAATACTCTGTCAACTGAGATAAGTTCAAGCGCTAGAGCACATTTTAATAGGGCTCTTGAGTAACAACGTTGGATGAATATTGAAAGCTTAAGAAGAACTTCAAAAGGGTGTGGTTCGAAATGGAAAATTTAGGGTTCTTAACGACTGGGCTATTTTTGGCCTCCTTTTTCTTAATATTTCATTTGCAGATTCCATGTTTTTTTTTTCACTGGAATCCTCTTGGTAAATTTGGTGTTCTAACGCTAATGAAAAGTAGCGTTTTACCTGCTCTTATTTGCGGTAACAGCACATCCTTCTACAATCTTTTTTACAATAAAGCATGCACCCAACATTACATTCTTGCGGGGGATAAACAGGATCACGTCTTTCCTCTTCCAGGGCTCTGGCCTCCTGAAAATTTATCCCATGGCCACGAGTTTCTGCTAGATAAAATCGAAAAAGCACAGTAAACGTAGTGCAGGGTACTGGCTCCTCATTAGGGCAGACAAATTATTCGTACGAGCTCGTCACCGTTTGATAAAAAATCATTTCTCTCCTCAAACTGCTATAACAATCTGCGATGACGGACTGGCGGTCAAACATTTAACTGAAGCAGAAAGACTCTCCCACCAGATATACGTGCGCACTGCAGGTACTTTGTTGATTGAGGAAAACACTGCTCTCTTCTGTAAAACCCTCTTATTTTTAATTTCGAGCCACTTGAGTCAAATCTAAGTCTATTCTGACCGTAATTTGCCACGCACCTTTCGATCTGCGGGTAGAACGTGATGCGACGGAGACAAAAAGAAGTACGAGGACGAGAAATCCAGCAGTCTTCATGGTAAAGATTGTACTACTGACGAATCTGGGGAAGGCGTTGTAATAGATAGCGTTACGTAGGCAGGCCTAAACTTCTATATTTTTAAAGAGGGCAAAGCCTGAATTAACAGTCACACTTAGAAATCGAAAGCGAACAATCTTTATGGTTTTAGCATAAATCTAATCGTCGTCCTCATTAGGTTGGTACTTAAAGGTCGACATTAAAATGAAATGTCGAGAAAGCAAGAAAAGGAGCTGCTTATAGCTCTGATAAAAGGGAACTAAAAAGACGAAGCCGCTCTTGGTGTATAGAAACGATCGTAAATTTAAAATTGAAGAGAATACTTAAAAGGAGAAGAGTCATCGAAAAAATGTTAAATCGACTCCTTGCTTTACTTCCACTTGATCCGATTAGCGCCTTCTTAACAGTATTTGAGCATTTTTTAATCAGATGCGATCGAATTTTCAACAAAATTCAAGCGAGCCAAGTGTAAAGTTACTCTTTTATCTTGGAATTATTGATATTATTATATAACTGAAATAGCTTTGTTCAGAAGACATTGACGATGATAAGCAGCTTGGGGCTTTTCACGTTCCATCTTCCCTAAAATCCTCAGGGCGAGATTGGAAGGGAACAGGATCATGCCCATGGTTGCAAAATTTCAAACAGTGATTTCTTGCGAGCGACTGAAATCTAGAGTGTATGTGCCCAAAATACAAATTTTCATCGCATAAGATACCATGATCTCTAAAATGAGCCACAGGGCTCTCCCACATTAAAGCAACCTGTTGGTCATATGTTGATTCGAGCCATAGGGTATCCAATTAAACGATTTTTGCTTCCACGAGAGGTTTGGAATAGAATAGAACGTAATTTGAAGCAATTTTGATCCTAATCATGGAGAATCCATGTAAGTTTTCAATCACCACCTGTTCGTTTAAGGAACTGTCTTTTGACTGAGCTGGGCTATAGCAAGGAAAGAGTTTGGCAACGTAGCACGTTTGGCCTAGAGTACCATTTTGGTTAACATTGGGGATAGGAAGTAATTCGTACAAGTTAGCCAACAAGTTATGTTGTAACAGAACCGAAATATCATAGTTCCTCGCAGAACCGCTCAGGCAAAACCGAAAGAGGAAATCATTAACACAAACTTACTTTCGAAAAACACAAACTGTAGGAGCTCGAGAAAGAAATTATTTTATTACCTCGATTGGCCAGCAGTTATCAACAACACCTTTGCCAAATACAGAATCCTGTTTGTTCATTGGATATCAGTTAATGCACAAGATAATAAACCACAGCCACCCTTGAAATAGAATGCATCGATTGGCAGACGGATTGTGTTAAAATTAGTAGAACCAAATAGAATAGTTCACTAGATTGAATGGCTCGTTGTTGAATGGCTCATCAAATTGGTGAATGGCTCACCAAATTGAAAGGGTCGTTGTTGAATGGTTCACTAAATTGAATGGCTCATTGTTGAATGGCTCATCAAATTGGTGAATGGCTCACCAAATTAAATTGTTCTCCAATTTTCGTTTTTTGCGTCGCCACGAGCCAATATTGATTTTTTTGGGCTACACCACTAGTGTGGACAGCGATTGAAAGTGAAAATTGCATAGTTTTTATCGAGTGCGTTTCGACTGCAGTTATAGAGCTCACGGAATTCTCTATTGCTACAAGTTTTAAGATGTATTCAGTCATTTCACAGACAAAATTTGAAAACTTTACCTGAAATCTTATTCATATCAGCGTGATCAGAGGAGACCCCTCTTTTAGACCTTAATTCGCGTATCAAAAATTCACCAATTTGTAAGAAAGAATTCTCAAAACGCAGGCGTAAATTGGGCTTAAGAAAGCATATCAGAGCATTCATGAAGAATATTTTGTAGGACGCACAAATGAACTGACTCTCCTTTCTGCAAAGGTGGGTGCAAAATTCAGAATTTGGACTATTTTTAGATTAAATTCTCAATTTTAATGTGCAAAACATAAGAGAAAACTCTTTTTCGACGGGAAGTCGAAGGCCTCACAGCGAGGATGGCACTTAAACAAATCTTGCTTGCTGAAGGCAAGTTAAAGTTAAGAAGGCTGTTTAGTAAGATCACTTAAAGCACGCGTAAAAGAGGAAGGCATGGCTCGTGACCGCCACCGTTTTTTCGGCAAGTGTAGATGATCGAAAAAGGGGGCTATTGAGAGAAGGCCGCTTCGAGATGGTTATTTAAGACGAAGGAGTGAAAAATGGTTATTTTTCTTTAATAAGGACAGACTATTTTGTCTCATCTTCTAACTGAAATAGATATAAATAGATATTGATAGATTTTTCTGCATTTATAAGTTATGTGTAGAATTACCACAATGATCATACGTGGAGCAAGCGGGAGAGTTTCTTGCGATTCGTGTTTGGACCAAAGAAATGGCTCTTTTGTTATGTCGAAGTTTAGGCTTAAGAAGTGAAGAAGTGGTCAATTGACACACGAAAGGCTTGTTTGGCAGATCCTGAGGAGCCATTTCTACTCTGTTGGACCCAGTCAAGGGATAGTTGATACATGCTCCGAGCAGACTTCTGCTGCCTAGCAAAATTTTGAGCGGAAAAGGCGATCGCAAGTGTGTGGGTTCTTTACGTTTCATGGTTGGACCGAAAGCAAAAAGTTTTTTGATCTGCCGCTACGAAAAACTTCTCCTTTTTTAAGTCCTAGTTTAGGCAAAAGGAGTGTTAGCGATAAAATCAAGAAAAAGTTTGTTTTTTAAATCCAATAGCGCCTTTTTCGCTCTCTGCTGGTTCCTGTCAGAAGAAACTTTGGTTACATATTCTCGACAGACTTCTGCTACCTAGTAGTATTTTGAGCGGAAAACGTGATTGTCATGACACAATTCTTTGGCGAAAGACATCAAACGCACGAGTATAAAAGATGTTATACTCTTTAATTAATTGTCAACTCAACATTTTCACGAGCTTGAGTGCTAGCAGTCACTGTGGCTTCATTTGTTTAATAAAACTGTGTTATAAAAAAATAAGGACTGGTGTTATTTAGACCTCCTCACAATACTGTTAACCATCAAAAATTTAAAATAAATAAATGATGTTTTTACAAATTATGTTTGTTAAGCAGAATCAAACTAGTCTGATCTTAAGCGACGCTTCCAGAAATTCAGATCACTTAGAAGGAGCGTCAATTAAGTGCCCTCGGTAACTAAACGCCTGAAATCCATCAGCCTCAAACACCTGCGTAAGAGTCATTAAAACATGAGTGAGCAAAAATATAAATTGGGTGCAGGCGTCCACTCTGCAGCAGCATCAGGGAAAGAGTTACGGAATAATCCAGTCAGGTACTATTCATTTTTGTTCGCATTTCTGTTTTAATATCAATATTTAACTAAAATGAACGTGAAGCCTTTGTATCCAACCGAAGAAACAAAGATATGTTTTCCTATTGTCCCATGAAGTATGAGCATATTTTTATGCAAAGTTCCTCTTGATAGAAAACTAACTTGCTCAAAACAATGACAATGAAAGACATCCAACATCCTGTGAAAATAGAGAATGGGCATGGACTTTAATTTGCTCTTGGGAGCAAAATCCAAAGATGTATTGTAGTGTCTCATAACTAATGATGAATGAGAGAAAGCCCATTTTTAATGTGATCCCTGCCGCCGGAAATCTCACTGCTCTGCTGATGAACGTTTTTTTTTATTGAAACACTCTGAATACTCTTAGAATTGATTTACCTCCTACTAAGAATGAGTCACTTGGGATTCCTGGGGCGGATGAGTGTATTTCCTTGCGATTCTCATTATAGGTAATGAACTATTTTTACTTCAGGCATAAATTTTTATTTTGTTCTTAACTTTGCCACACACATGCCAAGGCTTAAACAAAGTTGCCAAACTATTATTTTCCTGAACAGACAGTTAGAAAGATGAAGGGAGTATTTCTGGTAACGATGATTATTTTGGCCGATGTGTTCGCTTTTCCATCTCGCAAGGTAGGTTAACGCAATGCGTTAAAACTACACTTGCGAAACTGTTAAGGGTGCCATTACAAATGCGCGGTTAAGAGAACTATAATTTTTTCCCCGTCACTAAAATGTGTTTGACAATTTTCTTCCTGGCATGGTTCGAGACTTCAGAGCCGGTAACATGTTTGTCTAAAAATTAGCCCACACATCTGTGCTAAGAAATTGACTACGAACACCCGAATTTGACAAAAACGAAACTCAGAAGCCTAACAACACATCTAAATCAACGCACGATTCACATACAGCTACTTCTACCTGCTACTCCGGTTATCGGCGCAATCAAATTAAGACAAAAAAAATTAAAAAGGGAAAGAAAAATAATTATAACAGTTTGAAACAAGAATGCCTCTTTGTGTTGCTCCTAAACAAAGATTCAAAATGGTTCAATTAAAGAGATCGCCAAGGGGGTGGGAAGTAGGAATTAAGCGACCAGCTGCATGTTGCTGAGCATGATTCAAAATGGCTGCGTATGTCGAATTTGCTGACAAATTTTGAAAGGCTAGCTATAGGTTCAAATAAATTGCCAAGAAATGGAAAGTGAAGATTGAGCCAAACTTAACATTAAGCGATCAGCTGCATGTTGCTAAGCAAGATTCAAAATGGAGGCGCATGTTGCTGATTTTCTATAACATTTGCAGTCAAACAATTTCTGAAAGGTTTGGTTGCTTTCTGGCGAAGATAAAAGTTATGTGGTTTACAGAGCACAGTTTTCCTTCCTTGAGAACGTAAAAAATAAAAAAACGTTAAGATATCCTAAAGGCATTTCTTAGCTCAATTTTTCATAATTACAACATGTTCGGGGTAAGCCGCTTTTCTTCCTAACGCGGGGGATCTTAACTTTCAAACGCGTCATTAATACAAGATATTTTCACTTTGAAATTTGTGATTACTGACTGGCACCTCGCCTTCTTTTGCAGGATACTCTAAAAATTATGAACAAAAAAGGTAAGGTCAAATAAAAGAAAACGAAAAATAGTGCCATTAGTGATACTAATGGCACTATTTGGTGATACTAATTAGACTTCTCCAGTCTTCACTTTGATTATCTTAGTGATGCTGGTGATGATGTTTAATGTAAACAGCTGTTTGCAGGTTGTCGGAAAGTGCACGCGACAATCTAAAAAGGTATCTGTGGGACGCTTTCAGGGCCAGGGAGCGTCATAAACTAGTTGCAACAGTGAACAAAACAACAGTTTGATAATAGGCTTGGTCAAACGAAAGGATGAATAAAGCTAATTGAAATACCCATTGTAATGTATGTTATAGTAGCTCATCTGTTTGAATTCGATGTTAATGTATTTTGTGGTCTCAATGCAAAAATTACCTTTTACTGATCTAACTGTACGTTTTGGCTAAATGGGTACGAGGCCCCTCCCATCAAATAGAGCTTGAGCGAGTTGGTAAACCCGTTCAAGATGGCGCCTTAATCTTGAGATCGCCTAGCCTCCAGACCAAAGCGATAAGAATAGTGTACTTTCTTCTAGCTTCACAACAATTTATTTAACTTTTAAGCCGATTTTTTTTCTGCTTAGCCGGGAATTGCACGGAAACAATTCCGGATCCTTAAAGTAACAAGCTGAACCGGTTACGAGCGCACGATTATCGAATCAGATCCGAGGAGTTTTTTAAAGATTCCGGCCCGCTGAGATGCTTTAGAAAACAATCATTACCTTTGGCTAAAGGCGTTGTTCAAGACTTCATGCACAGTTTTTTTTCCACTCGGACCTCCCGCCCTGTAAATAACAAATACGTATTTTGTAATTTACAGATAACCTTGTATTCACCCAGAGAAACCTTGTGCAATTCCATAACATGATAACTTGTGCAACCTCGAGAACATCTGCAGATTACATTGATTATGGCTGTTACTGTGGCTACGGAGGAAAAGGGAAGCCCGCAGATGCTACTGACAGGCAAGTTTCACCACAGCAAAAACATCTGTAAAAATTAATATTAATAAAATGTAAACTCAGGTATCGTCAAACTGTCAATCAATAGCATAATTTGATCTCAGAAGAGAGCTTATATTTGTTGTTTGTTTGGTGTCCTTTGTAGCTGTTGATTGGTCACATCACACCAAGCAGCCACCTCACTCCCTATATGAGCTATTCAAATTTACAATACCCATCAAACTTTCTTTTAACCCCTAAACTCCCAGGAGTGACCAAAGCAGGATTTCTCCTTACTTTATCTAAACAATATCACGCAGACAAGTGATAAGAATAAAGAAAAATATCAATTATGCGATTACTAATTGATTCAATACCAAATTCTCCAAACTAACATGATGAGAATCATTTGGCAGACAGTGGGGAGAATTACCAATGAGATCTTGGGAGTTAAGGGGTTAAACAGAGTTACTTGACTCTTGGATGATATACCTAGAAGTAGTGTGGATGGAAAATCGAACCAGTCTCTAATGTAAGGGTGATTGTTGAAAACCTTAGATGTGTACAGTTCAGGATTTGCAATACTGGATCAAAAAACGGCCCCATAATTCAACATCATGGCTTTATTATCAGAGGGAGTTACCAGATTTTCTTAGGCCCAAATCAACTTAATAACATTGTCTTGCAAAACTTTGTGTTTATTTTGAAGTCTCAGTGTCATTGTATATTAAAGTGGCAAATGTCACTAGTGAGAAAATCTTTGACTTTTGAAATGCAAGAAAGATGTTTTTGTCCACTGAAGCTAATTAATAGGCTCCAACATTTAAAGAATTAATGGAACCCCCTACCTTAACTCATTGAATTTAATGATAAATACACCCATTTCTAACCAATTTTTAGGTGCTGTAAAATTCATGACGAATGTTATGGCCGTATACAGAATCAAAACTCATGTTATTTCTCATTGGATGTTTATACGAGAATATACACCAGAGACAATACTTGCACTGGCTGTGGTAAGTTCTGATTGGGTAAAAACCTATGTTTTTAGACATAAAGTTTCTTCAGATCTTACAGAAAGTATGATACAGAATTTTCATTACATTTGGAAAGGAGTTTTTTACAAATGCAGTAATTAAGGATAAGTATTTAGATATCTTTCACTTTAAGCTGTGGTAAGTTAATTCCAGCTTAGTGCATAACAACCTATGTTCTGAGATATTTTATTTCATGACATCCCAACCTGGTCTCTAGGAATCTAAGAAAGGGTTGTTCACTGCATTTAGAAAGGAATATTGACAAGAACAGTAATGGGAAAAGTTTTATCAAGTTTCACTGTGGGCAAAAAAAAAAATCACCATATAGTGGAATAGTTCAATAAGTGTTTCATTGTTTCCTAAGGGGGTACAGTGCTGCTTTAATCATGACTAAGGTTTTCTAGTTTTTTATTTATTTATTTATTTTTTGCTTACTTCACAAACCTCAGCTGATAGAGAAGGAACTTGTGAGAGAGCTGTTTGTGAATGTGATGGAGCAGCTGCCAAGTGTTTTGCTGAAAAGGAATACAACATAAAATATTTTAACTGGCCAGCAGAAAAGTGCTGATACAGACTGATCTTTGAGAAGGAGGTTACCACAACAAGAGGGTAGTCCAATCAAATATATTTACAAATGATAAACAAGATTAACAAGAGTCTTATGTAGGAAAAACTTAATCCTAACAGTAGTGTATTTTGCAGTGCCAGTAAAGTAATTTAGCAATCTAAAACTTTAAATTGAGAAAAATTTGTTCTCAAGAGTAAAACATATGAAATGAATAATTTTTGACTTGTTCATAATGAGTGATGATATCTTTGCATTCACAAACAGAAATAAAAGTAATTGAAAAACTTCTGAATATAAGCTGTAGAGGGAATCAGAAACCTATGAAAGCCAGTAGTTTAATTTTAGTAATTTGCATCTGCTGCGTAAGCAAGTGCCCGGCTAGCTCAGTCGGTAGAGCATGAGACTCTTAATCTCAGGGTCGTGGGTTCGAGCCCCACGTTGGGCGCTCTAAATTTTTTTTTCGATTATTCTTTCCCTCTTTCTTTTTTTTCTAGTACATTTTTCTTGATGAGAATAAAGCTGAAAACCGCTCTAAATTCACTACATACCACAATTGTCGATGTAGCCAAAATAAGCAACACTCTGGAGTGCGTGACACTATTAACCATAAAGAAATAAACCTAACTCTGCAAAACTGATAACTTCACGAGAAATAATTGAAAGAATAAATGAAATACTTATGAATGAAGGGAATATTTTTAAAGTTAATGTACAAGCCAAGATCAAGACTCAAAATTATAAGCAAAAGAACCAAACCACCAGGCTCATTAGGCAGCCGTCCGTGATTGCTCTCGGCTCTCGCGTGCGTGTATTTGATTAATTAATTCGATTGTTTTGACGCTTAAAAACATAATTAATCATTAAGAAAATTATTACTTCTCTGGATTCTCCTCTTTGGAGAGGAAAACGTTACATAGATCGAACAACAACATATCCTACTTAATTCTCCTCAGTGCAACAATTCGGTTGTACTTCTAACCTCATGACTCCAATTTTGAACTAAATTTCGACAAACTGCAGCGACTTTTTCGCTACTTTCGCCGCATGTCGGCATCGTCCAAACAAGAAAAAGATCACGAAGAAACGGACGAAGGCGAGGCAAACGACACTTGCGACAACCACGGCAGCGGTTCTGAAGGCGAGGAAATTGACACTTCCAACAACTACTGCACCAAACAACCGGTTGAACGAGGATCCCAGCCAATTGACTTACCCCAATCTCCGCAAGAAGAGCCATCTGACGATACCAGTATGGTTTTAGCTCATTACGGCTATGTCTTGGGTGATTCGCTGGGTAAAGGGTCCTATGCGGTTGTTAAAGTGGCTTTTTCCAAGAAGCTAAAGCGGCAAGTTGCCATCAAGATCATCATAAAGAAAAAGGCGCCGCAAGACTACATTACCAAGTTTTTACCACGCGAGATCGCTGTCATGAAAAAACTCAAGCATCCGAACATCATCGGACTTTACGAAGCCATTGAAACAAGCTCTCGGATCTATCTCGTAATAGATATGGCCGACGGCGGAGACCTGTTAGACTACATCAAAACGAACGGCCCGGTTTGCGAAAATGAAGCTCGTACGTTTTTTCGGCAGTTAATCGGTGCCTCAGAATACCTCCATAACTTGGACGTGGTTCACAGAGATCTGAAATGCGAGAACATTTTGCTGGATCGCAACAAAAATATATTACTCACAGATTTTGGTTTTGCAAGGACTGTGCCCATCGATTATGATACTGGAAAACGAAGTTTGAGTTTGACGTTCTGTGGATCCTACGCGTACGCGCCACCCGAAATTCTTCGTGGCGTTGCTTACGACGGAACGCGCTCTGATGTATGGAGTTTAGGGGTGGTATTATTTACAATGCTGTGTGCTAAATTACCGTACGATGACTCAAATCTCAAGGTGCTGATGGAGCAAGTAAGTATAAGGAGGTGATATATCAGAAAGAAATTTCTACATGCAGACAAGGGTAAAAATAACATACTGTATTTTGCTTCTGATTGATTGAGTGGGTGGTGTGAGTTTTCTAGACCAATCACGAGGCGAAGCAAAGAAAAAACAACGCAATTCTGGATTATTTTTTATAATCGAAAATTGCTCTATCGACTTTGTTGTGAGAATCGTCGTTGGGGTCAATCAAAAGGAGGTGTGAGACTGCATGTCACCACTGACAGACTGCTTTCGAAACTAAAGTGAGAACTGTACATACATGGGTTCCGTATAGACATCGTTTCAGTTTCTATTTTTGTCTCTCATTCAGGTATCTAAGACTGTCGTTTTTCCAAAGAAGCGAAAAATTTCCGAGGAGGCCAGACACCTCATTTTAAAGATGCTTTGCGAAGAAAAGGAGAGGATTGACATCCCAGGAATAAAGGAACATCCTTGGTATCTTGGGAAGAAGATGAATATCGAGCTAAAAGGAGACAAGGACAAGGAGGACCTTGGGAAGGACATATCTCACGATTCAGGGCTTGGAAGCGAGCCGGTACTTGGGAACGAGGGCCGATGATAACACGCAGGCTGCGTATATAGCAATAATCACAACTTGAAACGAACTGAAAGGAAAGAGTGTTTGGTAATATCAGCAAACTACGAGGGACTCGGAAAATAGAGGATGAGTTGTGCATGCAACTTTGGTAAAACAGCACTTTTTGTTCGGCAGAAGCGGATTTTTATCACCGCCTCTAACTAGATATCCGTATATTGCATAATTGAGAGGATACCAAGTTTCTGCGAGCGACAACTAGAATCCACAGAGTGAATCATCATGTGGCAGGACTCGTCTGGGCATGGATCTGCCCACTTCTATGAGGAAAAAGTCAATTTGACTGAATACTACAATGACGGCAAAAAACAAACGATGGAATATGTAATAAAAGCCATTAAGTCGTTCACTCCTTGCAATAAAACTCGATCAACTCACCTGTTGTCCAGTAACAGTCTATCAGTTATTGCCCTTGCAAGGCCGTAGTATAACCAACCGGGCACCATAAAACACTCAGCACAAGTATAACCAGGTAATTGTCTTAAGCAAACCAGCGAATCAAACAAAATAAGTCCATGATCCAAGACAAGGCCCGAAGTGTATTGACACTCTGAACCGATATTTATTCACGCCCGAAACATTTCCTTCGAAAATATCTTTTATGGCTTGTCACGGTTGGCGGGTGAACTGAAATAAATGAGTCGTGAGATTCACTTAGCCTCTACAAACTCTACGTGTTCACGAAAACACTGCGTCTCTCTTATGCCACCCAAATGAATTGACTAAAAAAAGATTTAATCAAAGACACTGAAAACCAATCACGTCCTAAAACTCTAACCTCGACATTGGAAACTGACGTGGACATTTTTCGCGTACCTTTTGTTTGTTTTCGCCGAGTTTTAGTTGTTTTTGAGCTTTCGATCGCGTAAATTTGTTACCCCTTTGTTTGGAATTTTACGAATTTCGGAGGTTTCATTTTTATAGCCAAATATTGTGGTTCATTTAACAAGTTTATACATATTTTCTACGAAGTTTGGATTCCAGCTTCTTTTTTTCGTAACTTGATTTTTTACAGTCATTAGCTTTACACTATTCATGTAAGCAGTCAACAGATGTTGGCTAAATATTGATAGACTTATAATAGACCAAAAGACACTCTTAAACGACCCTGGCATTTGTGAAGGAGGAGTGGATCACATATCAAATTGAGAGGGCAAC